AGTATCACTCCTACCTGGGCTTCCACCTGCCAGCCTGTCCTACAGATTTCAGACCTGCCAGCCCACAGGTCGGTGAGCCACTTCACAAAATAAATTTCTTAATATAGGTCTATGTCAGTCTGTCTGTCTACCTGCTCACCCACCTCGCTCCTGTTGGAGGACGCTGGCTGGAATACTTTCCTGCCTAAGGAACAGAATGTCCACACGTGTGCGTCGGGAGAGGGGTTAAAAATCCACTTCACAAAGTGTCATTGATCCGGGAAGCCAGCACAGCACAGACACCGAGTGCCGCCTTAGCCGGCAGCCCAGCTCTGCCTCTCAGGCCACGGGCCCAGGACAGCCCTCGGGCTCCTCTGCCTCCGAGGCCTCCTCTGTAGCGACTCATTGGTGGTGAAAACCAAGTGTGCTAATGTGTCAAGTGCTGCATGGTCGACAGGGACACTTGCTCGTTAAATAAACCCAACCTGATAGAGTCTTCAGCGTCCTGCTTTGTCCCAGAATGGGGCACCCAGAAGCAAGCCCCATTCTCCTCCCGGTGGCCGAGCCTCCTGGCTGACGCTGCCCCCATTCCCACGTGGCCACCTGGCTTTTCATTAAGCTCTTAGCAAGCATATTTGGGCCTCCCATAACTCCCTGCACTCCCCCAGCACCCATGGAAAGCTTTTTCTAATCCATAGTCACCTACATGGCTCTCTCAGGCTGGGAAGGTAGGGGGGACATGGATGAAATGAGTGAACTGTACACAAACTGCTCCTGCCTGGGCTCATGGCAGGTGCTCCGTGACTATGTCTCAACAACTAAATAAATGCTCAAACCACCCGGCAGGGCAGGCAGGGCGAGGCGTCAGGCTCAGAGAGGTCAGGAACTTGCCTCTGGCCACACAGCTAGACATGGAGCCTGGATTCCCACCCAGGTCATCCTGCCCCTGGGTGCTCTCTCCCTCTACCAGCAGGCCACCCTTGGATGACAAGAGGCTGCCACACAAACAAAACAGTGATGTCTTTTGGAGAGTACCGGGCGGACGTGTGCAGGTGGTAGCCTCAGGCAAGAGGACACTTGAGTCGGCCTGGGGACAAGCAAGGCCCCTTCCCCTCAAACTGGAAGCTCCCACCACAGCCAACGCTCAGAGGGTAGCTGCCAGATGCAAGCAGGGTCTGTGATCCTCAAGGCACGAAGTCCTCAGGACAGAGGCCGGCACCTAGACCCTCCAGGACAGAGCGTGCAGAATCCAGGAGGGGCGTTAAACTGGGCACCGCATGGGCCTCCCCGGGAAGTCTGCTGCTTACTCTGCCCATGAGGATCACACAATTCATCCGCCCACCCTCCTTGTGACCATACTTCCAGAGTGACAGAAGACTGCCACACCTCCACCATAGGTCACCAGCATTTACTGAGCACCTACTGTGTGCTACCAGGTGCCTACATGGCAGGTGCCTTTCACTTTGCCAGGCTGAGTGTTCTGAATTCCCTGGGCCAAGCCTCATAGGTCAGAGTGTCAGGCACGGCCAGAGTCTGGGCTCGTCCTGCCCCATCGCGTGACCACTGCTCCATCCACCAGCCCACCCTGACACCCTGGAGTCGTACCAGGCATGTCCCTGCCCTTCACCACCGTGGACCTGCCATCACCAAGTCCTGCCACCTTGACCTCCCAAATATGGCTTGGATCCACCGCTTCTCGCCTCGGCACTGCCACCACCCTGTCCAAGATGCCACCATTTCTTGTTCGGAAACCCAATTCCATCCTAAGCAGTCTCCCTACATTCACACAGCCAATCCAGCCCTCCCAATGCAGCCCCAGACATTGTTATAAATTACAAACTTAATCATTTAGTCCCCAATGTAAAAGCCATTGCTTTTAGGTTTCACAGGGCTCAGAGCCCCGCAAGGCCTGGCCCATCCTCGCCTTCACCCTGCTCTAGTACAGCCACCTGGCCTTCTTACAGTTCCTCCTCAAACAGCGCGTTTCCTCCTGCCCCAGGGCCTTTGCACATGCAGTGTGTTCTTCCTAAATTCCCTCTCTACCTGGCATCCCTCAGCTTGCAGGCACACTTACTGCGCCCAGTTAACCTCTCCCCATGTTTGACCACCCACGGGCCCACCTTTCTCCCCTTTAGAGTCCTTATCTCGGTGTACAATTGTGCACACTCATTTGGGTCATCAGTCGATTGACATCTGCCCTCTTTGTCAGACAGTCTGTGAGGGCGGAGCTCCTCTGGCTTGCTCAGCCTGCATCCCTGAGACCCAGCTCAGGGCCGGCACACACTCACCCAATGACCAAAAGGCTCGGCTTGGCACTCTGGCGGTAGGATGGATAGCATGCCATGACCCTTCAACGGAGCAGTTCTTCTTCCAGGGACTGACCCTACAGATGTGCGATGGGCACCATCAGCTGTCCACCCAGACCACCCACTCCTCTTACTGGGCACACAGCCGACCCAGCCTGTCTTGCCTGTGGCTTTGCCACGTGACTGAGCTCAGCCAGTGGGGCGCAAGTGGAAGCAGAATCTGCCCGTCCACTGCCGGGCCTGTTGGGCCTCCCACGTGTGGAACAGGGCATGGGGCCACCATGAAGGGATGACAGATCCACGTGAACTGGTGTGGAAAACATTCCCGACAAATTGAAAGGAAGCAGGCAGGTGTCCAGCTGCATAAACCCTGTGAGCCCACTCATCCAAAGTGGGAGTCAGCGTCGCTGGCTGTTTGTACAGGAAGCGATTTCGGGAAGCGTGTCGCCCACGGTGCTACCAGGAGTTATGACTCGGTGGGGGAATTCCGTGTGGTGTTTACGTTCTTCTTTGTATTTTTCTAGAATTTTACAAGAGCTATGAATTGTTTTTATATTAAAAATAAAGCTCTCTCCCCTGAAATGAAAACATCAGGGTGCCTCCTCTCCTGCTGGGGCGGGGCCCCTCCCGAGCCCCTCCCGAGCCCCTCCTGGCTCACATCCCAGCCCCAAGCCTGAAGAATGTGGGACGGGCCCCATCTTGGTAACATTTCCCATTTGAGTCCTGGCTTGGCTGAGGCTGAGGGAGGGAACGAAGACAGAGCGACGCACCCTGGGTGTGTGCTTAGAGATCTGAATGATTAAACCCATTCCCCAGGCCTCAGAGAGGTTTTTAAGAGGAAACATTTACCCGTATTAACCACTTGATATGTTGCACCCTTCATTCTGGACTGGAGCAAAAATCACAGGGGCGGGTGGGTGG